ATTCAACTTTGTTGCTGGGAACCGAACCGGCCCGTCCAATCTCATCTCCCAGTTGTACACCTTTTCGGTCATCAATCAAGCAAATGCTAGTTGTTTTTTGTGAATGTTGCCAACAAACACATGACCCAACCCTTTACAAATCGACCGAGCTCTGAGCAAATTCTCTGTCCTGTCCGCAGAACTTCAGCTGGGCCTGCAGGAAACTTTTTTCTTTTTTCTAAACATCTTTTCCTACCCTTTTTTACTACTCTACAGAGTTTATAATCGTGTACGTGAAATTCAATGAAATTCTTTTCTGAGGTCTTTCGTTGGAACCTGCTTCCGGAACGTGAGCATAGATTCTTTCCAGGGAGTCATTAGGTCCGGTTGTTTAAATTCAACACAAAACAGATGCTCGTAATTTTTTTTTGGAAAGCGCCTACTGCTGGCTTCTTCAGGACTTCATTTACTCCTATGAGGCCATACAGCACTTTGGCACTATCCTTGCTGGGCTGCTTCGTTTCGGTCGATCTCGCATTGTTCTTCTTCCAAATCTTGCAGAAAATTGTTTCGATTTCTTCAATTTTCTTTGAAATCCTCATGTTTGTTTGAGTAATTTTCGTACCGTTCGTCGAGCTTGAAACAAGGTCACATCGCGGTCATCGGGTCTGCCTCGTTGTTGAAATTCTGAAACAAAAACTAGATACCAGCTGGTTCTTACGGCTTGCTCTACCTTGGCCTAAATCGGCATTACTTCCATACACACATTAATTTGGACATTACTTGGTAACCTTCATTGATAGCTCGGAAAAACTGCTCCGAAAGCCATTTGCAGGAGTTGGGTTTGCAATTGCCTTTTGCAGGGTTAGTGATGTTTACGGTGGTGAAACGGTTTCTTTTTCCACTTCTGTAAGCCAATTGATCAGTGAAGGCTTGGAGTTTCATCCGGTCACAGTGCAAGTAGCACTTAGCATCAGGATTTTTCAATAGTTAGTTACTGACAGTCCGATTAAGGCAAACAGGCTAGTTTCAAACATTCATAAGGATCGATCTTGGGAGTTTGCTCAGTCATCGTACTGTCCATCATCCTCGAGCATCTCCGACAATCACCAAACTTCATCGAAGCCTTCCTGATTGTACTACGATGGCAAAGCTAGATATCCCAACCTCGATTTTTTAGCCACAACCCTGCTCAGACGTTCTTAAGCAGTTGTCTTTTCAGTAGAAGAGATTTTTTAGAACATAATTAATGAAGACAAGGTGGAATGCCTCTGAGACTCAGGTAGAAAAACCCTGCAAAGCTGCAAAACATCAGATGCAGTGGATGTGGGTATGGCAGTTCAAACCTGATGGTCTCCTAAGTCTTTGGCGTTGACCAGTCCATGTCCTCAGTTTGGGTGGAGCACCTAACGTGATAAAGTTCAGGAGCATGATGGTTTGTTTGAAGAAAAAAGTCAAGCTTCTACGGAAAGCCTGTAGCAATAAGGAGCAGGTGGGGAAGGGATTCTCGTCCTGACTTTTTGATTCCGATTTCGATAGTGAGCTATGGGACGAGCTTACCACAAACATTGCCTCATATCGAGTTGTTTTCCAGTCGATGAAACTGCTTATAATTGGTGAAATTAGCTTGTTGGGTCTTGCTGGAGCCGCTTTTTACTGCAGTGTCAGGCCGCCTAAGGTAACACGTACACTAGAAGGCGTGACTGTCTTAAAAACGGATCCTCATAGCCTTAGTTCCTGATTGCGCCGTTTCTGTTGCGAGTACTGCTGAGAAGCGTCAGATAGCCCTTTCATCTTTTCAGTGCCTTGTTTACATTTGTTTACACCTAACTTGTTGCACGTGACATTCTTCAAGTATGTATTACTAACTCTTGAATGAAGTAGAAGATTAATTTATTTTTCTCCGGTCTAATTACAATGTTTCCGAAGCGATATGTCCTTGTGATAATGGATAGTTGTTATTGTCGATCACCGAAGAGGATCAGCCACTTGTGTGTAGGCGTGTTGAGTGCTTTCTCCTCCTGCAATCAATTCGTTCTTACTTCTTCGCTGTTTTTTTTCTGTTTGACGAGGTTCAAGGAAAAACTTGCACTCTTATCACTTTACGTTTCTGCAGGACCTCAGATTTCGGGGCGGCTGATAACCCCTGTCAATTTTGCTATCGCTTTATTTTTATTTAGGTTTATTCCACTATTCAATGATTTTTCTGCATAGTTTTGTTCCGGGATAACTGAGGACTAGGCAGGATCATTTCTGCAGAGAGTATTTGAGATTAATTTTGGCCAAATCTCCCCTCTTCGCCTCGTCGAACTTCCCCAACTTCAGCATGACTTGCAAAATGTTACTGTAATTTTGTTGAGAGGAGGCGTATTCCAGCGAAACAGTTCATTAACGTCGAATGCCACGGCCTTCCGATAGGAGCCGTCAGCCAAATCCAGCCAAACATCACTGGCATCGCTATCAGGGAATCGAGAGTCGATTCTTCCTGAGAGTTCTATAAGGGGGTTTAGCTAAAGCCAACTGGGACCTCATTCAAGCCTCATGTTCTCATATTTCGGTTTCTATCTAACCTTTATTAAAGTTTTTATATTCTAATTACACATAGATTCACTACCGCGATTCCGCAAAAAGAGGGTACATGGCGCATCCGAGAGGAATGATTACCGTTGATATCTCATTTCGCGAAATCTGCGGGGAACAAGCCAATTTGAAGGCGTAATGTATCTGGCTAATAATTTATAAGGCCCAACTGATGAAGGGAGGGCTCTTAAGGATTACGGTGACCATCTTTAAACATACGCCTGCAATGGCCCGACCTGTGTTGGCCTAAGGGGCCCAAACCAGGACCCCACTCGATCTTGTGTAATTCTATAGGAGTTATTGACTCTACTCTTTCTAAGTGATGACATGAACTCCCTATCTAAAATATGGAAGCTGTTTCTGACCATAAACAAGTACTGATAGCATGCAATCCTATTATGACTACCTTATGACCGTCTCGTTCTAGGACGTCCTGCGTGTGCTACCTCCTTGTTTTCTTAGACAAATTGATGCTTCTCAAATAGACTTAGTAAAACTGGAGCAGGCCGAAAGCCAGAGGATATTCCCCGGGTGAAAAGGTGCATATATCAAGTCCCGAGCAGCCGAACATTTGGGATTGGCTCATTTCCGTTAGATTTTCCCTGAACTGTACATCGCCAGGTTTCAATGCTTGTACTACCCAGACATTGAGCTGCCACTGCTAGAGTGCCTTCAGGTTTTTCATTTCCGGTTGTGGTTAGACTCACGTTTCCACGAATAGCACTGAAAAGACCTCGTACGTTTGCGTAAAAGAAAAATTGCAACGGACATTACAGCAATGCTGCAATTACAATGGCTGTAGGTGCCCTTGACTAGTCGGCAGATAATCACTCTACAAACGACGATAAACTTCTTTTTGAAGTTGATGCGCTCGTTACCGTCTACTGGTGATAAAGATGTTGAGAAGTGCCCCCATAAAATAGAAAACATTCTTGACTTCTACTCACCCACTCGCCTCTCACTATGCTCTGAATTCGAGTGCTCCATCGTCGTAAAATCTTTGCGTTCAAAAATCTTTCGTGACCACCCAGACTTTCTTGACTGGAATAAATATTCTAAAGCTTCCTAGGGAAACTGCAGCAGAAGTCGGATGCGTGGCGCATCCTAAGCTTCAATTCTCCTCAGGAATTACCGAATAGCATCCTGAGTTAGTTGGCNCAACCCTGTCCTTGTCCTTACGACCAGTCTACACCCTCGAAAGATTGAACTGTGCAATTGGCCCGAATGGGATCCGAACTGGGCTTGTGTCTGTTGATAGTGCTACTCACCACTGAGCCATTGTTGTGGGAAGTCTCGTGTCATAAATTTCCAACTTACTTTCAATAACAGCGAAATGGACTTCTCCTGGAATGTCTGGAAGAGTACATTGTACTCTTTCTAAGAAGGGCTTAACGTTGTGTGTTTTGTTCGTTAACTCTTTTTCTCACCAGTTATCAGTTAAGATAAGTGATTAATGTCACAACATTGCCGAATTCATTATCCACTGTTGACCGTAGAAACTACTTAATCCACTCTTATCAGCTTATCAGTAACTGTTTTCATGAAGAAAATTTTCAGGAGACGTCACAGATATGGGGACGACGAAACAGCCTCAGATTCGAATAATCGTATTGGAGAAGGGAGAAAACTTGACTAATGTTATTCGGCGACTTGAGAAAGGTACGGCCTGGTTCGATACCGAGTCGATAGTGTGCCCCTTTATGGGAATGTTCTCGAAATTTCAGGAGATTTCGTTCGTTTCCATCGTGGCGGATCACTTTTGGGTGTTGAAGTACAGATTCGAACCAGTCTAACTGGGGACGAACCGCTAAAATGGACAAGCGGAACTAATCACTTGGCGGTATACTGCCAGGTAGAATGTACCCGTGCCGGCTCGTTCAAATACACTTTCACGGCCGATGATGAGTAGGTCTTTCCTAGATTGAGCCCCATTTTCATAATTATTCTTGTGTTTTTTCTAGGGAAGCTGGCAGTGGCTATTTCTTGGTCATGCCAGGGTTGACCGTGAATGGAAAGCGTCTTCCATTGGACGGTATCACATGCCAAACTCATCTCACAAAACTGTTAGGTCAGATCCTACTAGAAATGATTACCAATTCTTAATCATCCCGGAAAAAATCTTTTTTTCAGGTAGCTTTTCGAATTGGGAAGATCGACTTCGTGTTGCTAAGGAAAGCGGCTATAATATGATCCATCTGACCCCAATTCATGAACTGGGAATTTCTAACAGTAGCTATTCTCTTAGCAGTCATCATGCTCTCATCCAAACTATCCACGAGGTAGGTAGGCCACAATAGCTTTTTAGAGAGTACTTGCGCTGGACCAGGGGTGTGACTTCAATCCATGGGAATTGTGGGAGGTTGTGCCGAGGGGATGCTTGCATAGTGGAAAAGGAAACCAGATGCCGAAGCTTACAGGCACCATGGCTCTTCAGAGTGTTACGACAGAATCCCCAAACGATGAAGGCCCTTTCCTATATGACGGTGTCCCAGTTCATACCCACTCCCACTCTCGATTCGCCTCACCGTACACTGAAGTGAACCACTTTTTTCTAAACAGGTCCCTAGTCAAAGTTAAGCCCGAAGCCGTGTTTTTTGGGTACGGCGCTTTTGTCAGACTGCCTGTCTGTACCAATTTCTGAGCAACTTTTCGCTCTGTGTTTGAACCACCCTTTCGAGCTCATTCAAGTAGAACCTACATATAACTTTTCAGGACAACCATCAGGTCACGTTCGATGATGTGGAAAGATTTGTACAAAAAATCGAAAAGGAATGGAATATGTTGACCGTGCAGGATGTTGTGTGGAATCATGCAGCGAAAAACGCCCAATGGCTTCAGGTAATCCTCAGTTCTTCTTCTCATCAGAATACTCCGCTTTAACTCCCCGCAAAGTTTTACACATCACATCCTGTGTGACTAGTTCACAGTCGAAAGAGGTAAGTATGTCATCGTCATGATACCGGAAAATATCGAAATTTTGGTGAAACTAGACGGATTCAAAAAAAATCTCTCGGATCCTCAAACTGCGCATTCAGTGGTGGCACCAATCGCCGATCCACTCTGTCCATTACAGACTAGCGATAGTTGCCAAGGATCGGTGGTCCAGCGAACTCATATTATTAACCCATTTATTATCTTCCGATGTAATGTTTACATTTTCCAAAATTACCCACTGAAAACACGTGCTTGAAAATGTTTTTGAACAAAAGGGCAGAGCAAATGATGTTGACACGTGACAAAGCGTAAAAAATGATTTACTATCACTTAAAATTACATGTGAAAAACAGTGGTCCGATAAGTAGGGACTTAGGTTTTAACGGCGACCGACTTCTTTGTATTTCGACCTATTCCTCTTTGTCGCCTTCTTATTCGCCTTCGTCATATTCTTAGTCGTCATCTTCTTCGGCATCGACTTCTTCTTTGCTGTACTCTCCTTCTTCCCCTCCGTTGCCGTACCCTTCTCCATAATATACTTCTTTGTCGCCCACGCTTTCTTCGTCATCGTCTTTCTTCGTCTTCGACGTGTTCTCCTTCGCTGTCTTCATCTTCGTGTCGTAATCGAGTATTCTTCTTCACCGCGTTCTTCGACTTCTTCGTCGTCCTCTTCTTCGTCTTCTTCGTATTTTTCTTCGTCGTTGCTGTCGTCATAATCTTCTTATCGCCGTCCTGTTCTTCGCCTTCGACTTATCTTTCTTCATCATCTTCTTCCTCCTCTTCGTCGTGTTCTTTTCGTCATCGTCATATGGTTCTTCAACATCTTCACTCGCCTTCGACGTGCTCTCCTACACTGTCTTCTTCTTCGTCGTCATCATATTCTTCTTCATTGTCCTATTTTTCGTCTTGTTCATCGTTTTCTTTGTCATCTTCGTCGTAATATTCTTCGTCGTCTTCTTCTTCGTCATCGTGTTCTTCTTCTTCGTGTTCTTCATCTTCTACCTATTCCTCCTCGTCCCCTTCTTCTTCTTCGTCGTACTCTTCATCGCCGTCTTCGTCATCGAATTCTTCCCCTGCTTATTCTCCTTATTCGTCTTCTTCTTCCTGTCTTCTTCTTCGTCGTCATTCATTTTGCACATTTTTCAAGGCATGGTTTTTTCCTCGACAAGGTTCACACTCTTGGTTTTTTCGAGTGCTATACCAATAATGCGCTCTTGGTAACTCGGCTCCCCTGCCTTAATTCTCCATCGATCTTCCCGATTTTTTGATTTTCATGGCTTCGTAAATGAAAAGTTTCATCCACAGCATTGCAGGAACATCCGGAATGTGCTTACAACTGCTCAAACTCTCCTCATTTGAGACCTGCTTTTATCGTCGACAGGTGAATTTTCTCGTTGAAGAGCACTAAGCTCATTTCTTTGCCAACTATTGCAAAAAACTCTATTTAGGGTCTATCATCATTTCGGACGTGAAGTTGGTGAAGGGAAATGGATTTCTCGTGGGATACCCGAAGTTGTCGATAACATTCATCATTGCAATGTAAGTCCACGTCTGATTTTTCTCGATTTTTTTTTTGGAAAATGTCGAAATCTGGATAAATAGTGCGTTAATTATTCCATCAAGAGAGCTGCGAGACGGTGCCAACTGTAGGCTCTTTCCTAGCGTGTCCCTCCTGTCGTAAGGAGCTGCCCCACCTATAGCAAATGTATTCTAGAATATGCGATTGGCTACACCCATTCACAGCATGGGAATGCTCGTTGAGTGATTGTTGTCCTATTAGAGTGTATGAGATTATTTACAGGCAATTGAATATATTCTTCGTACAGAAGTGTTGCCAAAAATCCGTCTGCATGAATTTTTCCAAGTTGACGTAGACGAAACCGTGAGGAGGTTTGAAGAGATGGCAAGAGGTATGACCAGGTCTTTTCGATGTTCAGTGCTTTTGCTAGCAGTCAAAGTCGGTTTGAACTGTTCTAGTGCAGGTCAGGCCTATGAATTGGTAACATCCATTTTTGCAGGAGGTCCTACATCAGAACCTCTTGATGAGGTCTTACAAATAGCCCAAGATCCGGAATATCGACGATTCGGATCGTCTGTCGATTGGAACAAAGCGATGCGAATTTTCAATAGACATAGGTTGGATCATACATTCGCTTTCCTTATTTCTTGATTTATTGATTATGACTAATATTTTTAAGTATCAAAAAATTCTGATCCTAAAAACTTATAACTTCATGCTTTGGCCATTTCATCCTTATCTGTCAGGACTATGAAGTCGAGGTTCCCTGGCTGGATCCGAATCAGAGATTGCAACTTATTTTCAGCGCCCATTCTAATTTCAAAAGTCCATTGACAGTTTTTCTGTCTTGCTTTGCCTTATCCTCCTCTTTTGGCATGTTACAATAATGGAGCAGGTGAACAGGCTGGCAAAAAATGGATACTCAATCCCATAGACAGCTCTTGAGAGTTCTTAGATCTTTCTCACCCCGTGGTACACCGTTTGCTACTTATGTACGTTTCCCTTATGAGTTTCTCTTAGAAATGGTGCATCATCCACATCTCCTTTCTTCCCCTTTCACCCCCCACCCACTACGCGATCCTTCCAAACTCCGAAATTCCCCCACACACCACATGCTTCGTCTAATTCGTTCGAAGGCTTACACCTCCTCTAAGTGACCACACGGCCATTTCCCGTCTTTTCTTCACAGTCTAAGCACCAAGGTACAGGTTGGACAGAATGAAAGGCAGATCAGATTTATCGGCTGAGATTAGATTTTCTCGGAATTTCAGGGACGATGCCACATCCGAAGATGACCGTTTGGAAAAATGTTCATCGGCATTCAGGGATCATCTGCATTACTTGAATGGCGAAGGTGCCAATACTATTTCATTTCTCATCACAAGATGCTGACAAATCGTTTTCAGCTGGGAAGGAAGCATGGGAAATCGTTATGTCGGGACTTCGTGCTATGATGGGCCATATTCACTATCAACGACTGGCCGACGATGGACCTAAATTGGGTGCCGTAACGCCGAAAAGTCCTCTTACTACTGAGTCGGTCAACTTTTGGAAAAGATTTTGGGTCAAGTGAGAGATCTGGGGTAACATCCTTTGACTTCCAGCTACTTCTTAATGACCGATCCCAAAAATTCGTGGGAAGAAGAGGAATGGTTTGCATACGATCAGGACAAGTCTCGTTTTCTGATGGCTTTCAATGGATGGGTAATGAGTAGCAATCCGTTGAAAAACTTCGCTCTGCCGGATTCACAGGTCAGCTGCCTTTGCCGATTTTTAGGAGATTTTTTGACCTTCTTTGTTTTCCCAGTTTTTTTACGCCTCTGTTGTGTTTTTTTTCTGAAAAACTCCATTTCAAGCTCGATTTTCTTCTTTTAATACTTACTTCGCTACTTATTCAAACGGTTAGTCTCATTTTAAATTTTATTCTGGGAATTAAATTTTGAAGGTGTACCTGCGACGTGAACTTGTCTGCTGGGGAGATTCGATCAAACTGAATTACCGGGATAAACCGGAAGATTGCCCATTCTTGTGGCAATATATGAAGGAATATACGTGAGTTTATCAGTTATCGAGTTATCGGAATTCCATTTTTTTCCACAAATTGATTTGAACTAACTATTACAGGATGCTCCCTTTATTGGAATAATTAGGAAAAAATTTTATAACGGCTTTTAGGGAGAAATGTGCTCGTATGTTCCATGGGCTTCGTATCG